CGATTGTCTGGTCTGATATTTCCCTGAAAAGAGAAACGCAGGAATTTCCTGAGTTTCGGGATGATGATAGGCTACATGGAAGTATATGTGCTTCCGGTTTATGGAAGTGAACCAGTCGTCCTGGTGAACACATTCCAGCACCTGTTTGATCGTCAGCATGGGAATACTGACAGATCAAGGATGGGTCTCACTCCCCCGTTCTTTTCCGGGATTTTAGAAAATAACGGGAGTAAACACCCCTGATTTTCCTCCCTTGAAAAAATGCCTTTTTCAACAGGAGTTCCTGCAGCGCTGAATGGAGCGCAAGACACTGTTCCTGGGATGACAGGAGTCTTGTATCCCATGGAACTGCGGGGGGGAGAGGCTTCTCTGTGATATGCTGTAATGGTCGTCATGACCGTGCTCTGTAGGAGGCATATCTGGGACAGAGGAATGCCGCGAGCTATGCAGTTTATAAACCAATAGGTTAAAACAGCAGGCTTCTGCAGCGAATGACCCACCTCTGGAGTCTCCTCCTGTGGGGGAGACCCATGGGGATCACCACGTGACCAGCTGACGCCAATGCCGAGCAGCTGCGTCACGGAGAGGGCTGTGCGGGTTTAGACACGCCGGAGGAGATCTCGCTGCAGTTCCTCCACTCGCTGCCGCAAGAGCCGCGCTCTGCTGGCTGAGTTTAATTCCACTCCCAGATAAATGAATGTCTGAGAGGGGAGAGGGCAGCTCTTCTCCAAATTCATTATGAAACCCAGGCTTTGACAGATGCGATACGAGATGTAACGTCTGTAAAGCGACTTCCTCATGCTGGAGCGAGCCAGCAAATAGCAGGTCGTCCAGAGAAAAACCTCATTCTCATCCCTCCTCTGTCACTGTGTAGTGGCTCCAGCCTTCTCTACACAAAATGCGAGGAGCCAGGGAACATCCAAACAGCAGACAGATTATCTGGTCTGATATTCCCTGAAAAGAGAAACGCAGGAATTTCCTGTGTTTCGGGATGATGGGTATGGAAGTATGCATCCTCCTTCAGGTGGAAGTGAACCAGTCGTCCTGGTGAACACATTCCAGCACCTGTTTGATCGTCAGCATGTGGAATACTGACAGATCGAGGATGGTCTCATTCCCCCAGTCTTTTTCCACTCCCCGTAAGACTGTTCCTGGGATGACGGGAGTGTTTCCTGTGTCCCATTGAACTGTGGGGGGGGGGGGGGGGGGGAGAGGCGAACTGCAGGGTGTACCCTCTGCTGTCCATCAGACACACGCGCTACCACTCTGAGAAACACTCTGAGAGCGGGCGCAAATGCTTGAGATGTGTTGTGGTCGTCATGGCGACGAGCCCGTGAGGCAACCCAAGGTGGGCCTGGAGCAAAAGGGCTGTGAGGGAGCCTCCACACGCTGCGTTTCACTCCGGCTCTCATCATGAGGCGTGTACACGCTCAGGGGATGAGTGGAGGTGTGTGCCGTGACGTCCACATGAGGCGTCATAACTGCGCTCATGGGCTTATTACGTGTGTAGGAGACGTATCTCGGACAGAGGAATGCCGCGAGCTCTGCGGTTCATTAACCGATAGGTTAAAACCAGCAGGCTTCTGCAGCGAGCCCTGCTGTCTACTAATCAACAGATTGGTGGCAGCTGGCTTAATTAGCGAACTCTGCAGTTTATTAACCGATAGATTAAAAACTGCAGGCTTTTGAAACGAGCCCTGCTGCCTATAACCTATCGGTCAGTATACTAACCGATAGGTTATAGGCAGCTGGCTTACACAGAGTGGGGGGTGAGAAAACACTTGATACTGATGACTCAGACAAAAAGTTGGAAAATGAACTCTCCTTTTATTTTCCACACAACCCCAACACGTCAAAAACGTCTCTGCTTCCTCGGAGGCTCTGGTGGAGCAGACCAAGAGCGGGAGTGCCTCACTCCCCGTTGACCCACCGCTGGAAGACCCCTTTGTCTCTGGGGTGGTGGGGGAGCGGAGACGTGGGACGGAGCCCCTGCAGCCGCTGAAGGACCCTGATGCCGCGGCTGTGGGCGTCTCTCCGCGTGCTCGTCCGCCAAGCCGGCACCCTGCTCCGACTCTGTCTCCCCCGTCCGGGGGAGAGGAGGGAGAGGAGGGAGGGGAGAACCGTACGGTGAACCGTGGAGGGAGGCGGGGTAGGAGTCGTCCGACACCTGCCCGGCACTCGGCTCCAGGGACATGAGGCCGCCGTCCACGGGCTCGAAAGCCTGGACGGGCCAATCGTCCTCCTCGGCCGCAGCAGCGAGAGCGTCCGCTCTTCGCTTCCTGTCGTCCGAGGGGAGACGGGCACAGTGTGTGCATGCGACCTGCTGGCTGAGAGCCGCGTATCCGTGCTCTGGCCCCAGGCAGGATTCGCACATCGTGTGCTGGTCGTAACTCATAATGTATCCAGAGCCACATGAGGGACAATCTCTCACACAATTGCTGCTCATGATTGCTCTGTTAATGAAAGTGTCTCTTGTGCTTCAGTAACGGGGTGCTGAAGAAAAAGAGGGAGCAGGTTGTCGGGCCTCCTTCCTATTTATACCGGAAGGGAGCCCGAGGGTGGGGCCCACCTTGCGGGCGGGCATGGACTACAAGTGTTTCAGTGCTGCGCGGGTGCGCAGGGGGATTACCCAATAGCGATAGCCTTAGAGGGCGAAGCCATATACGAAATAGAACTCACCCTGGTGCGTGTTGGTACACAGCTGTCCTCACAGAAGCTGATGTATGACGTCACAGCCTCTGTATACTCATCCAGACTTTGAGTAGCAGTCCTAAACATGTCCCAGTCATGGGATCAGGTGTACCATGGTATGGTCAGAGTGGCCCAATGCAGCGCGGGGGACGGCGTGATAGGCTCCCTTGATGGTGGTCTAACATTGATCCAAAATATTCCCCTCTCTGGTGGGGCATTTAACAAACTGTTTGTATTTTGGGAGTTCATGGCTGAGGTTGCCTTTGTTAAAGTCACCAAGAACAATAACTAGGCAGTCCGGATAAGTCCTCTCCACACACAGTATCTGGTCAAGTGTGCGCTGCGCCTCCTGCACGTTCGCATGCGGTGGGATGTATACACCGACCAGTATGAATGAGGAGAACTCGCGGGGGAATAGAAGGGTTTGCAGTTGAGGATAAAAGTTTCCAGAGTGGGAGAACAGTGCTGCAGAATCACTGTCACATCGTCGCACCAGCCACTGTTTGTATACAAACATATTCCTCCACCTTTTGATTTGCCGGAGAGCTCCGTGTCACGATCCGCTGGCAGCTGCAGCGCCAAGTCCGGAATCGATCCACACAACCAGCTCTCAGTGAAGCACAAAACACAAGATGAAGAAAAGTCTCTGTTTCTACTAACCAGTAGCTGAAGCTTGTCCAGTTTATTGCTTATTGAACGAGAGAGAAATATTCCAAGTAGCAGCGTGCAAAGTCCGCGGCTCCGGAGGCGTACGATTGTCCCGGCCCGTTTCCCTCTCCTGTGGCGTTTCGCTGCTCGGATGCAGGTGAGGGTACCTTTTACAAGAATGTCCAATAATTCCACGGAAGAACAGAGAAAAGTGGGAAAGTAATCCGCTGGAGTTGTTTCTCTAATGTTTAGGAGCTCTTCCCTGGTGAAATAGTTTGGTGTACTGTATGTAAACACTGAATTAACGCACAAAACAAGACAAAACAGAGCGCACCAAAACACCGAAGCAGCCATCTGCCGCGCCATCTTTTTTGTATATATATTTAAATAAGTATATATACCATGTAGGCCTATAAGGTTGTTTCAGAAAAGCTTCTAGCAGATGACACAGATTAACCATAAAGCATTCAAAATAAACTTACTTCATTGGTTTATTCAAAATCTCAGTGTCAAGTTAAAGGTTGTCAATTTGAAATTCAGAGCATTACAAAGCAGTAGGGATGCTCCGATCGCCAATTTTGGGGCCGATCGCCGATCGCCGGAATCAGTATCTGCCGATACCGATCGCCGATCCGATCGAGTGGGCGGGGCCTAAATGGAAGATTTAAACATCACTTTAAATCTTCCATTTAAAGTGATGTTTAAAACTCAGTTAATGGGGCTCATTCACTGGAGCTTCCACAAACAACAATCAACTTAATTATTACATTCAAATTATGTATATTATTCAAGTTTACATTCACTTTGGATAATACCACGGGAGAAATTAGCAAGCGCTCTCTTTTCCTCTCTCTCCCCCTCTCTCTCCCCCTCTCTCCGTCTCCTGACAGCCCGTCAGTATCGTCTCATGCAGCTCGCTGATCCAGTAATGTGTGAGGCCGACAGTGAAGAATAAACATATTTATAACTAGTTTAGCTTGTTCCAGAGGTAGATAATATAGCTAAGTGTGTTAGGTCTAACTCTTGTGTGTTTCGCTCCGCTCACACCGCCCATCACAGCGGGTGGAGCTGCAGGATTTCTGCTTCACACACACGTTGCATACCACTATTTTACTGTCTTTTTCGGACACCTTAAAATAATGCCAGACCGGTGAAGCCATTTTGGCGAGCTTGTTTTGCCGCGTACAGAGAAAAGTGTCATGTATTTTACGTCATGCGATCGGCCCTCGCGATCGGCATGTTTAGAGAGCACCGATCAATCGGAGCATCCCTACAAAGCAGCATACAAATGTTTTATGTTAGTATATAGTGGAGTAGCAGAGAAAGTTACTCAGGTTTCTCATGCTAGCTGTACATTCATGTTAGTGCATGTGAGTCCTTGTGTGTCTAGCTAACAGTTGTCTCTTACATAGCGTTTACCACTGATAAAGCAGAAGGCCTACCGTCTGACAGCGTTATCACAGATAATGTGATGTAAACCCTTCTGTTCTGGTTCACATTGTTAGCTTTGTCTGCACGTTGTTAGTACTGTTAGCATTGTTAGCCGCTAGCGGTCGGCTAAGCTATCGCCATGTTGAAGGTAATCCCTCTGTTCTGAATATTTCATTGACAAAGGTTTTTAGGAAATCATAGCTGACTTGGTTATGTGTTATTATCTCCAGGTATGTCACTATCTTCTATGCGCTGAGATACCACAACATCATGACAGTGAGGAGAGCCGGCTGCATCATCGGGGGAATCTGGACCTTCTGCACGGGCTGCGGGATCGTCTTCATCATCTACTCAGACACAACCCCGGTCATCATCTGCCTGGTCTCCATGTTCTTTGCTATGCTGCTCATCATGGCCTCCCTCTACAGCCACATGTTCATGTTGGCGCGTTCTCATGTCAAACGCATCGCCGCGCTCCCCGGCTACAACTCCATCCACCAGCGGGCCAGCATGAAGGGGGCCATCACGCTCACCATCCTGCTGGGGATCTTCATCGTCTGCTGGGCTCCCTTCTTCCTCCACCTGATCCTGATGATCTCATGTCCGCGGAACCTCTACTGTGTGTGCTTCATGTCCCACTTCAACATGTACCTCATCCTCATCATGTGCAACTCTGTGATTGACCCACTGATCTATGCCTTCAGGAGTCAGGAGATGAGGAAGACTTTTAAAGAGATTATCTGTTGTTACAGCCTGAAGAACGCCTTCACCAACATCTGCGCTCTAACAGGTAAGTACTGAGGGACACAGACTATGAAACCAATGACAGGATTTGTAGGATGAACTACTGAATCGGACACTGGCGCATAACCATACGAGAGTATCAAACATACACTTTGTGAAATGGTTCATTGCACTTCTCAGCAAGTACAGTCTTTGGTCAAGACCATCTTTGTCTTCTCTCAGGAATTACCTGGAGAGGGGTCCCTCACAGTATGTAAGAAGGTTGTATACAAAGTGGCTAGTTGACATTACAGTATTTGAACAGACATGCAGGACCATTTGAAATGATGATTATTTTGAAACTGCATTATAGAAAAACAGTTTGTGTCCTGCCTTTCATTTTAGAGGAAATGTACTGTTCTTTATACTTTTGCTTTTTCCTTTTGAAAAGAAAAAAATTACAAGCTAAGACAGGATATCGTCATGTTCATTACTAAAACAAGTGAACCCTACCGTAAATGCTGTTGGGAAGGAAACGTTATAGGCTGGCTTTTAATTACTGTATGTATTCATTTTGGGAATTAAGACACTATTGGAAAAGTTTTGCAGGGAATACACAATAGTTAGTTGCCTCAGGTGATGTCGCCTGAGTCAGCATAAGCTGAGGCTGAACAATTCCGCCCATAATTCATTTGAGTTGGAGGAATCTGGCAGGAGGTGATTCAAAAACAAATTGTTAAATATATCTATAAGGAGGAGTGTTACTTTGTCAGTGGTGTCACTCTAAGACCCCATTTACACGCAAACGCATACGAAACGCAAACGAACCGAATACGATATCAAAAAAGTCTTCCGTTCACACGAGACCGCTCGGGAGCGCTGGAGACGCTGTAGTACATATGCCGGGCCTGTAATTGGCGCTGTACTTCCGCACGAGACCGCTCGGGCGTACACACAGAGCCGTTTGCCCCCCCAGAGCGTTCCGTTTGCAGATCTATCCACCTTGGGACCTGTTTGCGGGGTCCGTTTCCGCGTTTCCGTTACGGCCTCGTGTGAACGAACGGGCTATACGAAAGAGAAAAGTAGTGGATACAACCGTTTGCGTTCTCGTGTAAACAGCACATAAATGGGGAAAGTAAGCTGCTGCTTAACCTTCGGATGTTATCACCTGTCAACAGATAGTTTGCTGAAACTACATTTGTCCTGCCTCCACCTGCTGCAGCATAAACTCAGAGCTAATGAGCAACTTCCTTAAATGCTAACGCTCATTAGCATAGACATTTTCTGCTATGATTATTTTGACACTCTTCTGTATATATCTTGTATCTTCATATTATTTATAGCTGCTATATTTTGTGTGCCGCCCATGATCTCTTCATGACACAGCCCTGCCAGTGCTTGTATGAAACAATGTAAAATGCCATAAGTTTACACTTTAAATGTAAAATGTATTGTAGCTTCAAAGTGCTTTCTGTAAGTCGCTCCTACCTCCCAACTAAGAAGCTAAACAGATCTTTGTTATAAAATGCAACCGTCTGAAACTGCTGTTCATGACTAAAGTTAGGCATACCTTGTTGGTGCTAGAAGCTAAACATTTCTTTCTAGTGTTACATTGTAATATGTATTTCAAAAAGAGCAAGCCTCTATTAGTTGTGTCTTTGATTTATCTGTGGCATATCTTATGCATAAAGACTCTGGGACAAGAGATGTTTTTGGATCAAAATCATGTTGTAATGGCCTTACTGTATTCCCCATTAATTGTCTTTGTAAGTGCTTTGTATTTGTGAGATCAAAAGAAGAGCATATGAATATGCAAACAAATGTACATGCCCACATGGTAAAGTGCTTTTATTAAAACCCAATGATATCATTGTTATTATTTATTGGGAAGTACTTAGTTGTCCCGAAAGAAACAGCAGCAAAAACACTGAATGTAATGTTACACTAGAGGGGAAGCCCACTTAGTAATTGCATGATCAGTCCTATGTTATTGTAAAGTGAGCCCATATAACAGTTACATGTGTCATGTAAGTTATGGTAAATTCATGGCATGCAAAAATATAAATGTGAACTGCAAGAGAAATGACTGATGTCAGTGTTGGCAATGTTGCACAAAAGTATGTATTTTATTAATTTGAGTGTGAATAAAAGCAAAAGGCAAAGTTCTGAGTTGTCTTCATATAATTGTTTGCATCAACTGTGGTAAATTGTGAATGATGGAAACCTCAAGATTATGATCTATGTGAAAAAATAATAACATGATCTTTGAAAACAGTCTATGGGAAATATGTGTCCCATGTGAATGTGGTGCAGATGGGTAATTTCAAACGTTATTTATAAAGATTGACACTTGGTTTAAAATGCGAGTACATCCATGTCCTGAGAGAAAACGAGTGGGGTAGTAGATAATCAGCAAGGCAGAGAGAAGATAGCTAGATGGTATGGAATTTAAAAAATCATACACAGAAACACTCAGACACTCAACAAATAGATTGAAAGTCAGATGTGCACATTTAAACACAAAATGAATAAAAGGTCCGTAGCCTTGAACTACCTTTATTTGAGAACCAGGTGTTAAGGTTTGGCCCATTGCGAACCTGCTGTTCTCATTCTCAGTGGCAGTACAGGTGTGTTTATTGTTAATGTATGTAGTCTACCTACATTTAGCTGTATCTTGCTTGTAGTTTAATTGCAATAAAATAAAATTGCAACATTACATGATTGTCTATGGGAAGGAACTGGTTATCAGCTGTGCAGCATTTTATTGTTTTACCAAAAAGACCAGAGAGGCTGGCATCACTTTACACACAGTACAGAGTAAACAAGATTAAAACTACAACAAGTTGTGAAATAGGCAAATATACCATTAAGACAAAGTTATCCTGATTGGTAACATTAACTCTCAACAGAATTGATCTGTTAGCTAAACAGATAAGTTACAACCAGCACAACGTTGTTAAAATGTTAGCTGTGCTAGCTTAGCTCAAAAGGTACAGGAAATGTGAACATTAACAACAAGGAGAAGTGATCATCTGCATTCTTAAATGCTATTTCATAATATCTGAAGACAAATTGAGCAACTTGCCACTTTACAATCTACACAAAAAGTGCAAGGCAAGGCAAGGTTATTTATACAGCACCTTTCAGCACACGGCAATTCAAAGTGCTTTACAAAATAAAATAAAAGAAAAGACATTTAAGAAGAAATACAGCAGAAACACATTATAACATGGCATTTAAAAACAGGCATTAAAAAGCAAAGATAATGAAATAAACACAACAGGTATAGAATACATGAATAAAAGCCATGCTGCAGTGTGAATATGAACAGCTCAATCAAAAGCAGCGGCAAAAAGATACATTTTCAGCCTGGATTTAAAAGTAGTAAAAGTTGCAGCGGACCTGCAGGATTCTGAGAGTTTGTTCCAGATAGTCGGAGCATAATAGCTAAACGCTGCTTCTCCATGTTTAGTTCTGACTCTGGGGACAGAAAGCTGACCCGTCTCAGAAGACCTGAGACTCCTGGATGGTTCATAGTTATGCAAGAGATCGTTAAAATAATTTGGTCCTAAACCATTCAATGCTTTAAAAACCAGCAGCAGTACTTTAAAATCAATTATTTGACACACAGGAAGCCAGTGTAAAGACTTCAGAACAGGACTGATGCGATCCACTCTTTTAGTGTTAGTGAGGACTCGAGCAGCAGCGTTCTGAATCAGCTGCAGCTTTCTAATGGATTTTTTTGTGAGACCTGTGAAGACACCATTACAGTAGTCCAGTCTGCTGATGGTAACGTATCAAATCACACACTAACAGCAACTTTGAACACTAACCAACATATTGTTATACAAACGATAATGGTTAATGTAGTGTAAAGCCATGTAGAATAGAATGGTGCAGGAACAAGTCCTAAAACCTGGAAATAAGTTAGCATTTTACAACATCCCGTTTCCGATTGTAAAATGTGTTTTTGGTAAGACGCCTGAAAAAGGCACTCGTAAAAACTAAATAGATTTTTCCCTTTTTGTTCCAGAACATTAAACACATCAGTTAATACCCCACTGATGGATTTCCGAAGCATCTATGGGTGATAAACACGTTGCTAACAAGTGACTAAATGAAACCACTGAATGTCATCACAATAAACACGAGTCCCTCTTCAGCCTGAGGTGGGAAGTAGTGGAGTACAAATACTTAAGTATATATTTTTATTTTTACTTCTTACATTTTGAACACAAATACCTGTACTTTCTACTTGTTACATTTTCCAAACAGGCTGGTTCCTTTAGTTTGAATGTGTGTTTGGTGGCGTGGTCATTATTATTTAGAGTCATTGCGTGCCTATTGATTTGAACACGATCCGTATATCCATCATTTCCTGGTCTTCTCTAAAGAAGAGGGACCAATGAGAACTCGGCTCGAGTCCATTCTGTCTATTCCCATCATCCTCTGAACCAGAAGCAACTGCTGCGCCTTATTATCCCAAACCAGCCAGTAACGGAGCGAGGCAGAACCTGGCCGCAGAGGCAGCTAGAGGAATAAAGATGGAGGTTAGGGAGGAAGAGGAAGAGTCAGAGACAGGTGATGAAGTTAGCGACAAGACTGAGTGCAGCAGAGATATTAATCTCCCTCACCCATGGCCATATATGAGGGAGATGTTCGAAATGATCGGCATCAAAAACGATTGAGTTGGGTTACGTGCCAGGCAGGCTGTACTTGTGTGCTTTTCCTTCCCTCCTGCTTTTCTCTCTTCTCCCTGGCTGCAGTCGAATAGTCCATTTAGCTTAGGAACCTTCCTAACGGAGTGAAATGACCCGGAAGTCCCTCAGTGGCAGCCATGATAAGTGCCGTTCGAATTCTCTAAATGAAAGGAAAGGAGGTTTCAAACTTCCTTTATAACCTCCTTTAGCCTAGGAACCACTGGACCTTCCTAACCGAAAGGAGAGGAGAAAATGCTGCCCCACAATGCCTTGCGGCCGCGGCATTTGCCATCACACAACAGTCGGCCGTTCACGGAAACAACCGATTATGAACGAGAAATGATATCATGAAAGTTACGGTGCTTATTAAGCTTTTTAAAACGTATGTGGTAAGTTGCCAAAGTGCTTTGTTTTGAACGTTCATCAGTATTATAATCAAAAAGAGAAATATGAATGTTAGTTTTTACTGAAATGATCAAATAAAGTCAACATTTCAACCTTTTTTATTTCAATTCCAACTTTGGTCATGAAGAATATGTTTCTCTGTTGTCCACGTCCATCGAGGCGCCACCGAGAGCATCCTCAGCAGCTGTATCACGCTGTGGTTCGGAAGCTGCACCGCCGCCGACCGCAAGAGCCTGCAGCGCATAGTGAATTCTGCCCAGAGGATCATCGGTGCCTCACTCCCCTCACTACAGGACATATACAACACCCGCCTCACCCGCAAAGCATTCAGCATTGTGGGTGACTTCACCCACCCCTCCAACAGCCTCTTCAGCCTCCTGCCTTCAGGAAGAAGGTTCCTCAGCCTCAGCTCACGCACCTCCAGGCTGGGGAACAGCTTCCTCCACCAGGCAGTCAGGATGCTGAACTCTCTCCCCTCCCTCCATCTCTTCCGCCCTCTGACATCTCTCCCCTGAACTCTCCACCCTGCCTCCGACCTTTCTCCCCTGCCCCAAATGGTCCTGGACTCAAACCCCCTAACTCACTTTTCTGCCCATCTCCCATGCTACTGCACTGAAACTGTACTTTGAACACTTAAATTATATTATTAACATTTTAAACTGTATACCCCGGTTATCTAGGCTCTTTGTTTTGTTTAAATGTATACCATGTTTATCTAGGCCCTTTATGTTTTTTGTTTGATGTATATATGTCACACTGTAGGACTGCGGGAAACGATATTTCGATATTTCTGGATGTACAACATGTAGAATTATTGACAATAAAGCTGACTTTGACTTTGACGTTCATAAAGCATAAAACAACAGCATCAGAGCACGGTGCAGAGTCTCTAGATGAGTTTACAGTAGTCCCTCGTTCTTATTAAACATCCCTGTTGTAGTCCGCTGTATAGAAAACTGTAGTTTCCATAGTTTCCCCACAGCAGCAGGCGCACATTTATGACCTCCGCTGGCGCATCATAAACACGTCGGATAGTGAAAGTGCAGTCGGATTCTCTAAAGTACCGCAGTCTCTTCTCCTAAATCCTTTTGAATTCTCCTATCCACTATCCCTTAACCCCATGACGTTTCACTCAGAGGTCAAGGAATAGACGATAGGGTTAGAACTTAGGAGCTGATTTTTGGATTATTTGACTGCAGCCCCTGGTTGCGGTCGAATACTATGCTTTATGAACGGGGACAACAGAGAAACATATTCTTCATGACCAAAGTTGGAATTGAAATAAAAAAGGAAAGTGAAACTTATGCTCGTCACCCTCTCCCTCCGGTCCACATTAATACAAATGATCCCAATACGTATGATTGTATGAACTATGAAAAGATCTTAAAAGCAATACAAATGTATTTATTATAAACGTTAGTCCTTAACATCTATCACTGTGTATATTACCATACCAACATCTTTTTAAAAGTTGAACAAACCCCACACAGCTTAGTAAAGACTGAAATGTTGACTTTATTTGATCATTTCAGTAAAAACTAACGTTCATGTTTCTCTTTTTGATTATAATACTGATGAACGTTCAAAACAAAGCACTTTGGCAACTTACCACATACGTTTTGAACCGTAACTTTCATGATATCATTTCTCGTTCATAATCGATTGTTTCCTTGAACGGCCGACTGTTGTGTGACGGCAAATGCCGCGGCAGCAAGGCATTGTGGGGCAGCATTTTCTCCTCTCCTTTCGGTTAGGGAGGTCCAGTGGTTCCTAAGCTAAAGGAGGTTATAAAGGAAGTTTGAAACCTCCTTTCCTTTTCATTTAGAGAATTCGAACGGCACTTATCATGGCTGCCACTGAGGGACTTCCGGGTCATTTCACTCCGTTAGGAAGGTTCCTAAGCTAAATGGACTATTCGACCGCAACCCTTAGCCTCGTCTCAATACCCCTCCTCGACTCCTCCTTTCCCTCACTCGCGTCCCTTCCTTGCGTCTTAGCTCCGCCTCCGTAAGATGCGAGCGAGAGACACGAGGAGGTGACGCGAGGA